ATAGTCTGACCTCCTTTGCACTTGATTTTTTTGCATTGGCCAACTATTCTTTTTCTTACTTTTCTTGTCTTCTTTTATATTATTTTTTATTCATCCATTTGTTTCTACTAGTTTATAAGTTATGTATTTTTTCTATGCTTTCAGTATTATTCCCCAAATGATAATATGTGTCCTTAACTTACATAATTTTTAAATGTTAATACCTTAAGTGTTCTTTTGGATAATTCAGAAACCTTAGAGTACTTTATTCCATTTACTCTTTCTTGGCTTACGTTTTTTTTTTGTTGTTGTTGTTGTTGTTTTGTTTTGTTTTTTTACTATAATCATCTTTGGAAGACTTATACGTTATTATTATTGATTTTTAAATTTCTCTATATTTTTAAAGACTTCACATTATTTTTTATATAATGTTTATTTAAACCTATCCATTTATTTGCCACTGTTTGCTCACTTCCTTTTTCTTCCCAGACTTCCCTTCTGATATCATTTAACCTTGCCTTATAGTAGTACATACTTTAGTGTAGGTCTATTAGTGATGAGCTCTTTCAGCTTTTCTTTGTGTGATGATGCCTGTATTTCACCATCACTCTTGAAAGGTATTTTTTCGGGGGGGTATAGATTTTTAGGTTGACAGTTCATTCTCTCTCTCTTCCCACTTTTTTTTTTTTTTGAGACAGGGTCTAAATCTGTTGTCCAGACTGGACAGTACAGTGGCACAATCATAGCTCATTATAACCTCAAACTTCCGGGCTCAAGCAATCCTCCCAGCTCAACCTCATAAGTAGTTAGGACTACCACCACACCTGGCTAATGAAAAAAAAAATTTGGGGGCCAGGCGCAGTGGCTCATGTCTGTAATCCCAGCACTTTGGAGGCCGAGGCAGGTGGATCACCTGAGGTCAGGAGTTCAAGACCAGCCTGGCCAACATGGTGAAAGCCCATCTCTACAAAAAATACAAAAATTAGGTGGGCATGGTATCACATGCCTATAATCCCAGCACTTTGGGAGGCCGAGGTAGGTGGATCACTTGAGGTGAGGAGTTGGAGATGAGCCTGGCCAACATGGCAAAACCCATCTCCACTAAAAATACAAAAATTAGCTTGGCATGGTGGCACATGCCTATAATCCCAGTTGCTCAGGAGGCTGAGACACGAGAATTGCTTGAACCTGGGAAGCGGAGGTTGCAGTGAGCCGAGATTGTGCCACTGCACTCCAGCCTGGGCAACAGAGTAAGACTCTGTTTCAAAAAATAATAAAGAAAAGAAATTTGTCTCCACAATGTTATAGATTCTTTCCTGTTTACACAAAGTCCCACGTGTTATTGGTGGTGGTGGTGTTCCACGTGGAAGTCCCTTCCTCACTTTATGCGCCATTGATCAGAATTATAAACCACTTCTTCCTGAGAAGTGTTTCTGGCAGACAGAGAGTATGTTCGGTGAACAGAGGTACTCTCAGCTGGGCTACAAAGAATTCTTACCATGTTTTGTTTTTTCCCCTTGGTGGAGATTAGAGTTCAGACACTACTTGCCTCTTCAGTCCACGGTCCGATCCCCAGAGAAGATGACTAGAGAAGGGTACCGACTATCTTTTTTGGACAGTAACTCTTCAGGTTCTTTTCCAGAAAAGGAATTGATACCAAAACCTGATACTTTTCATCTTACTCATGATGCCTCACTGAGTAAACGCCTGGATGTGGGTGATTCTAGTCAGATCCATCCCTGTCAATTACCTTCAGATGTTGGTCTGGAAAATTATGACAGTCGTTATTCTCAAACTCTATCCCTGCATGGAAGTCTTGGTAAAAGACCTCAGAGAAGCAAGAACTATCAAGAGTATAGCATAAAGCCTTCAAATGACATAAAGGCCACCACTTCGCACTCCTGTGGAGACTTATTGACTTCTCTGTCAAACCCTGACTCCAGCGCTGGGAGGCTTTTGAAGCTTAGTTCAGGTAACAGCTCCTTGTCAGTTTACAGGTCTTCTTCATAGGCATGAAGATAGAAGGTGTAACTGAAAATTTTGGAATTAACTCTTCTGGAATTGCATTAGCATTTCTTAAGTTGTATTTCAAGGTCACCAGTGGTTCTCAAGAACCCCCAGAAATCTGTAGGGTATGAGTGTAACATGATGCGTATAATAGGGAAAATTTGTAGGAAAGTGAGCATCACAGCTACTTGCTATTTTAGTTAAGTAGCATCTCAGGACATCTAGTCTTTTACTTACAGTCACTTCCATCCTGAGTTACTTTCAGAAAAAGTTAGTTTCAGGCCAGGTGCAGTGGCTCACGCCTGCATTCCCAGCACTTTGGGAGGCCAAGATGGGCAGATCACAAGGTCAGGAGTTCAAGATCAGCCTGACAAACATGGTGAAACCCCATCTCTACCAAAAATACAAAAAAAAAATTAGCCAGGCATGGTGGTACGCGCCTGTAATCCCAGCTACTCCAGAGGCTGAGACAGGAGAATTGCTTAAACCCAGGAGACGGAGGTTTCAGTGAGCCAGGATTGGGCCACTCCACTCCAGCCTGAGTGATAGAGCAAGACTCTGTCTCGAAAACAATAACAAAAACAGAAGAAGTTAGTTTCAGAGTTAGTCATAGAGATCACTTTTCTGTTATTTATTTATTCAACCAAACTCATTGAACATCTACAGTGTCCCAGACACTGTTCTAGCTCTGCAAATAAAGTAGCAAACAAACTAAAGTTCTGTGTATATATTACCATAATAAAAAGACAGCCCCTACTTTCATGGAGTTTACATTCTCATGGGGTAAGACACATGACAAACATTTTAACATGTAAATATATGTCAGGTTATGGTAAGCGCTGTGGAAAAAATTATATAAGGGCATAATAAGGGCATAGAGAGTGATAAGGAGGAGGGGATGCTTTAGATAGAATGGTCAAGAAAGCTTCTCTGATGAGGCACCATAAAAGTAGAGACTTCAATGAAGTGGGAGTGTAAGCCATGTGGGTCTGGGAAGAGAACTTTCTAGACAGTGGGAATAAATGCAAAGGTCCTGAGGCTGGAACATACTTGTCATGTTCAAGGAACCTCAGGGAAGCCAGTGTAGCTGCAGCAAAGTAAGTAGAGTGTATAGATGAAGCAAGAAAGATGCCATACTTTTATTCTGGGTGAGATCAGAAGTAGTTGGAGGGTTTACAGCAAGGGAGTGACGTGATCTCACTTAAGAATTACTGTGGGCCTGGTGCAGTGGCTCACGCCTGTAATCCCAGCACTTTGGGAGGCCGAGGCATGTGGATTATGTGGTCAGGAGTTCGAGACCAGCCTGGCCAACATGGTGAAACCCTGTCTCTACTAAAAATACAAAAATTAGCTGGATGTGGTGGCGCATGCCTGTAATCCCAGCTACTCAGGAGGCT